TCATTTATGACAGTGTACAGAAGTACTAAAACCTTAACTGCTTGTGTACCTAAAAACTGATTGCACCCTGAACAGTGAATCTCAGGACGAATTGGAACATTTTCAGAACTGTAGTATTACTGACGTAATTTAGGAAAAAAAACGACAACAGATTTTGTGAAGTTTCTGCCAGTTACTTTGACTATTGACTGCATATTTGAGTGTAGAACGATCATTATAATGATTCTGTCTGTATGTTTCACCGCACAGATTCATCCTGAATACCTACACAACGCCGTGGCGTGGGCCTGGAACACGTATAAGAAACCACTAATTATTACTGAAAATGGATGGTGTGATGTTAGTGGTCACGGAATGAAGGACGAGCTGAGAGCAGCTTACTACAGCGTAAGTAATTAAACACTTTTCAGTTCGCTTGCCTTTTTCGAATTAATATTAAAATTCACGAAATGTTCACAGGCGTCACTTCGAACACTAGTTTCAACCATGAACTCCTGTGGGGCTAAGGTTATTAGTTTTTGTGCCTGGAGCCTTATTGATGCCTTCGAAATTAATGGCAGCATGGGGTGAGTACAATTGTGTTGTTGCCTATTTAAAATGGTTTTATTTTCTCACTTTCAATTTTAATTGTTTTGCGAATGTTGCTGACCTGAACAAAATACAGTGGCCACTCGCATAGCCGCGCCGCACGGTTCTCCTCTGTAGACCGGCGCGGCTATGCGAGGAACCCCCATCTCCGCTGGATGGCCGGCCGAAGGATGAAGCCACAGTGCTGTATGTGTTATTTAGCTTCAAAGTTGTTGAACAGTAATCAGAGAACAATCAGAATCTACGCCAACAGTGTATGGCGGTCAGCAGTGGGGTAAGGCTAGTAGAGCTTAACGCAGCTATGAGAGGCGCGGCTATGCGAGTGGCCACTGTACGGGTATGCCACATAATCGTTAAATAACACTGCCCCTATCAGGCCTAACGAGCGGGTGCAGAGTGTAGCGGTGAAGCACGCGCGTCTCGCCGGACTGCGCCTGCGTAACAAATTAGGGTGACAATGCACCTTACTGTTGAACATTCGTTGGGATTTCTCGAAGATGTACACTCAACTATCCCTGGGAGTTCCCGGGGCACTTAGTTTTTTATCATTATATCATGATAGTTTCCCAGTACTAGTTTTGAAGTGGTTTTAAGTTAAAAATATAGGTGAAGGAGAAGCACGTCATTTCGGTTCAAGGGATTTGGTTTAGAGAAAGAATTTCCTGTCGGAAGTTTCTGCCCTAGGCCCTAATACATGAGCTTTTAACAAGAATACTGATTGTTCTTGGCCTGCGTCATCATTTGCCATCTCCGTAGATTCACTGAAACTTTTAATTTGGCGGTCTTGTCATTCTCCTTTCACGTAGTAATTAAGGACCAGAATATAAAACAACAGAGACACTAATTTCAGTGTAGCCCTCCTTCGGTCTTGGTATTCGTCGTGGACAGTTTAAGTTCTCGTAATACACTTACCTACACCCTGACCAGTGTTCTTGACAGTAGTTCCGAACTACGCATATGGTGGGCAGCAAACCCAGGAGCACATTGGAGCAGCTTTTAGATTTACGTTGCGACAGAACACTTTAAAGTTACTATAACGCTCCAAAGTTTGTGTTAAGGGGCTGGGAAAATACTGAAGTTAAATTTCAGCCCTTTCGAAAGGACTTTTTTCAATGACTATGACAAGTGAAATCACGTATTATGTGTTGGATCATTATTTGCGACCTGGCCTTGGACCGTAAAAAACCCAAGCGGCAACGACGTACCCTAATAAATGAAAATACACAACCTCCTTTTCACAATTTTACGATTAAAAAGTCGATTTCTTTAACCAATTTTTACATAGATACCACTTTTAGCAAATTAAATAGCAGCTGATCAATTTGGATTTTGTGCGAAACAAATGTTAGGCATGCAAATGACACTGAGTCAAAAAACATAGATGTGTGACTTTTTAGAACTATTACTATATTATTTTTAATCTAATTTCTGACATTCTACCTTTTTTGTTGTTCTAGCCGTCAATTTGGTATAGTGTACGTTGATTACGCTAACAAGACGCTTAACCGAAGCTTCAAAGAGTCGTCTCAATTTTGGGTAGACTTAGCAGCGACAAGATCGGTACCTTTTATCAAACCAGAAAGCAGCACTGCATCATCAATATCATCGAACCTCTTAACCTGGGCGTTCGTGACCCTGCTCACAGCAGCACGGCGATAACGCTCGAAGCACGTTGAAGATTGCGACACGACGTGTTACTTAGATGATCCTAAGAGCCCCTTTTTCCACTCACGACTTGTACAAATGGAAAGAATAAAAATATTTATTTATGTAAACTCTCGTGTAGAATCGTCAAAACTCTGGAGCGCCATCCAGTGTTCGGCTGGTTGAAAACAGAGAAGTGTCCGTGTGTATGTGCTGACTGGCAGAGTCAAAGTCACGCCTCCCCAGGACTGCGCTCACTTTCCCCTACCCGCTGCACACGGCTTGGTGGCTAGTGGCAGTTACCTGCTCCTCATTTCATCTTCTCTTCTGCAGAAGACCAGTGAATGGAAGGTGTCTCTAGCCTACGTACCAACCTTCTCCCCTCTCCTGTACGCCGCCTCGCGACGCCTGCTACGGTGAGGTGTACAACTAAAAGGAGGCGGGTGGTGGGTGGGGGCCCTTTCACTCGCCTCTCTTAGCTTCGCAGGTGGAGAAGAGCTGCTGAACCATACAACGTGACCCTAAAAGGGGGTAAAGGGTGGTATGCTACGATACGGCCCCGTACGTACAAATTACAGACGAGTCGACAGACAACTTATGAACATCTCGGCGGACATATGGCACGAACATCATGCAGAAGGGCGGTTCATGGACAGTATGGACATGCCGACGAATAACTCGGTGCACATTTTTACGGATCAGTCGGATCCTCCGGACCAATCGGTAGCCGTTTGATGCCCATATGGACTACGGATAGACCCTTGGACTGACAAACCGTGGTAGACAGCTGCAGGCACATTCCCCGGACTTTGCAAACGACAGACTT